CCAAACTAGATATTATCGTTGTCAGTATCTCTTATTTGAATTTTCATTAAATATATTATGAGATCTAGCTTCAGCGTTGACAGTGCAATGTGATGTACAGGAAGGCAAATCAAACACATGCCACCTGTTTTTTCCTGCTTCATGCAAAAAGAAAACTTGTGCGGTTCTCAGTTTTCCATGACTACCAGAGAAGTCTGCGTGACAGAATATATATATTTTTTTTCTTTTTTAAACTTTATTCGACATCGTGGTTGTTGACATGCAGGCTCCACACGAGCACATCCGAAAAGAAATCATAACCACAAAGCTCGATTTAAACATCATCCGGAGCGAAAATCTATTTCAGCTGATTTTGCCAGTGTTCCACCGTATGGGAAATGTTCTTAACTACCTTTTTTCCCAGCTTTTTTAAAAGTATTTTATATTTTTAATGCAGATAAACGTCCCTAAAAACACCTCAGTCAGTTTAGATGGTTCATTCTTGATATTGCAGTATTTATATACATCACGCTGTATGTGTCTGTTTTTTCCTGTATCAGGCCTCGTCAGCTCACAGTGTGTGTGAAAAGTTGTGTCGTGTGTTTCTGACCTAATTATCTCCCCAAACGCAGCACTTTATGTCGCATGTTGAGTTTTCAGGATATATATATATATATGCCCACGTTGATCCTCCAAGGCTGCAGGATTTATCTGTTTGTTTGTTTGTCACCTCTGCTCTCCCAGGTTTGGCTCCTCCTCGGTTTCGGATCGGGGACCAGGAGTTCGACGCGTTGCCGGCCCTGCTCGAGTTCTACAAGATCCACTACCTGGACACCACTACTCTCATAGAGCCTGTCAGCAAGGCCAAGCACACGGGATTCATCAGCTCCTCCGCTGGCGTCCCGCAGCAGCCCGAGGAGGCCGAGTTCGTCCGGGCGCTGTTCGACTTCCCCGGCAACGACGAGGAGGATCTCCCCTTCCGCAAAGGAGACGTCCTGCGTGTCCTGGAGAAGCCCGAAGAACAGTGGTGGAACGCTGCTAGCCAGGAGGGCCGGGTTGGGATGATCCCCGTGCCCTACGTGGAGAAGTACCGACCCGCCTCGCCCACTGCTTCCGGCCTGGGACCCCCTGCTGTGGGGACTGGACAGGTTGGAGGGCTAGCGGGGAGCACAGATGGAACGGGGGTTCCTCAGACCAACCCCCTGGGGGACCCGGGCCAGTACGCTCAGCCTGTGGTCAACACTCAGCTTCCCAACCTACAGAACGGGCCTGTGTTTGCCCGAGCCATTCAGAAGAGGGTGCCCAACGCCTACGACAAGACGGCGCTCGCTCTGGAGGTAGTCATCCCCCCCTCACCCCGTCACACCATCCACTTCTCCAAGGCTGAGAAGCTCTTCGCCTCTCTGTGTCCTTATTCTGAGTCTGAACCGAGGCAGCGTAGATTGTCCTGCTTGTTATAATGGCTTACTCATGCATGTGAGCATAAACACAGAGTATCTTTACAAACGCAGGCTGACAGCGCACATGAGGACATTCACAGTGGAGACGGCGCTGTGCAGAAACACAGATCTTTTACAATGGCCCCTCTTTGTGTACACACTGTGGCCCATTGGATTAATTATGAATGTCACACTGTACGTCCATTCCTGCTGGAGCCCGGCGAAACAAAGCGCGTTGTTTTTAGCTGTTTAGCAGGACTGATTAGTGAATAAAGTGCAAACAATGGCAAAGGTTAATAGACAGTTTGACATCATCTGGCCGGTCGTGGCTCGTCGCATCATCCCACAGCGATCTGAGCTCACAGCGTCTCCACACACACACACACACACACACACACTTACTTAGTGTTGGCGCCTGGCTGCCCTGTTGGCTCACAGCCTCTGTCGAACATCTGGGACAGGTGGATTTCTTTGCATCTTGTCGTGTTGTCACTGTTTAACCCTTTGAGCTCCAAGCGACCAAGTCGTGTTTTGCTTTGTACAATACAGGGATTTTGAAGAAATATCCAGATTTTTAGTTTAGATTTTGTGAACAAACTGGAAGTCAAAGATGATTAGTTCAAGGGCTGCAGAGAAGCAAAAAAAAGTAGCTTGCCCTTTGAACCTGCTGGCGGGTTTTGCAGTTTAGAGGATTAAAAAGTACCTCATTACGTTAGCTGGAACTGCAGGTGAATGTTTTTATGCTTAACTTGAGGGTTTGTATGTTATTTTCTCCAGTAGTCATGTCTATCGTCGAAAATTATCTGTGTAAAGCAACCCAGAGTCAGTTTCCTCGTTTTCTCCAAACATTAATCCAAATCTAAAAATGGCTGATATTGAACCTGGTGAGTCTCTCATCCCAGCGACAGACTTCGAGTCCATCGTCTTGGACCGAAGCTGGTGATGGTGGTCTCTGTGCTGCTGGAGGGCGATTCACAAAACTCACCGTGTACGCAGAGCAGAACAAGGATGCAGTAAAATCCACCTGTGATGAGAAACCTGACTACCCAGTCCAGCTGCAGACCAAAGTGATGGCGTGATCTGTGGGGGACTCACTGGGGACGCTGAGATCCACCAAAACAGTGCCTGAGTTCAAGTGATGGGCTTTTTAACCAGGGAGCCACATGCACAGCTAAACATGTAATCACACAAGTTCAACTAAATCTAACTGATTGAACCCGATTCTAGCTACAGATAACGGTAATACCGGATAACTTGTGATTGGCCCCGATACAGGAACACTGAGCATGTTTCATCATCTGAGCTGTCAGTAGGTTTCTTTTTAAGGGGATGAGTGGGAGATGAACTCCAGAAGGGATCAGGACGCTGAAGCTGGATGCAGTTAAATGAAATTACAGTTAATTTAAATGTAATCCACTTACTTTGCACCGATGACTTGTGTTTTGTGCACACAGTCTCACAGCACTTGTACCGACTTCTAGCAGACGTATCTCTTAAACTCCTCTGCTGTTGGGGTTCATGGCGCTCTCCGTGCCGCTCAGTTTACTTGAGACTCCTCCAGAAACGCACGCGACGCCATTTTGTTTAAATTAACGGGAGTGGTGGACGGTGTGAGACGAAGCAGACGAGACGACATCGCGCTGTGTTTATAAACCGCTGCTGCTGTTAAAATGGGTCATTTGTGCAGCCTGCCCAAGTACAGACGGCTGAGGAACACCACGTACGCGTAGGCAGTAAATGCCGACACATACTGTCTGCAAACATCGTCTGTACGCCGACTTCACATGTTTTTAATTTCTAACAACATTTTACTGTTGAGCAGTGACATCAGACAGACACGTAAAACAGCCACTTATGGTAAACATTGTTTTACCTGCTCCAGACTTCTGAATTCACTCCTTTGTTTCAGATTTGTGAGGCGGTTGTGATAGTTCTGGTCCACCAGCATGTTTTTTTTAAGGACTGACAATAATGAAGGAAAATCAGTAGCTGATGTTTGAAACTTGGCTCGAACTCCTCCTGACATTTAGTCGAATATGAATTTATATGAAGGAGTTTCCAGATGACACACTGTCAGCCAGTTTTAAAGGAAGCTAGCACGTCGTCCCGGTTAGCTGTACAATCCAGGCGGGTCAGTTGATTGAGGTCAGTAACGTTCTTTCTGCAGGCCTGATAGAATCGGAGTCAGACATTGAGCTTGTATTGACGGGTTCGACTTGCATACGCGAGCCTGTATAGAGCGGAAAGAAGCAGCGCGTTTGTGTTTCATGTTGACTGACGATGTTTGTGTCGTGTCGCAGGTGGGAGACATGGTGAAGGTGACCAAGATCAACGTGAACGGCCAGTGGGAGGGCGAGTGTAAAGGCAAGCGAGGCCACTTTCCCTTCACCCACGTCCGACTGTTGGAACAGCACCATCCTGACGACGAGAGCTGAGAAGCACGCGTCCTCGCCTCCAGCACACTCCTCTGGCCATTTGTCACACTCGGAAACACAAAGATTTATACAAGCACACAGCATATGAACCTACGAGCTGAAGCGGTCGGCCTCCCCGGGCCCTGCCAGCACAAGGCGTGTTGGCTGATCTTGCCTAAAGTCATTTTCATGGACGTCAGTCATGCTAAGAGTTTACACTAAGGTCAGACGGATATCGGTTTGCCTATATTAGCTTCTTATTTTTGTTGTCTTTAAGTCACCTGACCAAGCGTCACTGTTGGCTTCTTCCTTGTCGACGCCACTTCAGACACCTGGCACAACACAGTTTTGTTTTTTTTCCAAGTAGATGGCATCGTTTATTGGTTTAGTGATGTTTTATTTTAAAGTGGCACAGCTAGAATCACACTGGAAGGTCAGCTATCAGTTTCACATCTGTGCATCCAGCAGAAATGAGTCGGCAAAGAACGAGACTATAACAACAAGTAGCTGCATCCACTGTTTGTGTCACGTCAGTTGAACAGATACAGGAGCATTAAGACTTTGTTTTTAGGGCGCTTTTTTACATTTAACCTTTTCGGTCCGGCTCAAACTAACTAGTGCGTTCACCTGGACAGTGGACACAATGCGGGAAGAGTCCGGCTTTGGTTCAGTCGTACTCTGGAGCAGCTTGTTTGTGGTTCAAAAGCACAGCGGGTCAATAAGAAGGTCCTGACCAAAGACACTTGTGCAGGTTTCCTCCAGGAGTCGTCAGAAACGCGCTGATTAAATTCTCCAAAGTAGCTTCGACCAGGACGCTGGCTCAGAGCGCAGCAGCTGCTGATACTACAGACAGGTTAAATGTCTCTATGAGGACCAGTAAAGGATGACTTTAACAGGATTTTTAAATTAAATTAAACGTGATTTAGTCTCTACTGATTGTGAACTGTCAAGATGATCTCCTCATCAGTCTATAAAGTGAGCTATATAAGTTTGCAAGATAATCTGGTAAACTGACTTCTCCTCTAGCCAAAGGAGAGTGAGCAGCGCCAAAGAGAAAAGAAAAACTGAACACTTTTATTTGTGTAGGTTTCATTTACTCAAGCATAATGTACGTTTTGGTTCATCAACTGGTCCGAAGTAACAAGAAAGTGCTGAAGTTTCTGCCATTTCAGGCCTGAAAAAATCCTGTCTTCCATTAGTGAACATGAATGAAGTCAGATTGATCCTCCCCGTGTGCTAAGCAGCTATTCATTTAACAGCAGGTGAAGCAAAGCGAACACAACGCTTCTGTTTGAGCCCTGCTTCCTCCTAACAAGCACTGCAATCGATGTCTTAACTAATGTTTGTGTCTTCGGGATGACGCTTCATATCACTGCACAGCTGTTGGTATTAAACTCATGTCAGCAGAAAATGGACCAAAAGGTGAAAAAAAGTTTATTTTGGTTGTTTGGTCCGGACCGAATAAATCCAGCCACAGGCGTGAAAGCGACCCTCGGCTCAGTTAGATGTTGGAGTCACGTGGACGCAGAAGCTGCTAACCCTAAAAATCACTTGAGCAGAAGACGTTAAACGGAAAAGGAATGAAAATGGTTTCATTTAGTATTGGCAAAATGTCAGTTTCTGACTGTTTAATTGGGCACGTTGGGCGCCAGTGACCGATACCAGTCGAACCCTAGTTTACATACCTCAAGCCCAGCATTGAAGTCAGCACCACACGTACACGGCGGGTTCAGCCTCCTCCTGTGCTATCTGTGCATTCCCACCCACCAAGCTTCATTCACACACAGGAGGGAGAAAATCGACGGCACACCGGAGGCCCGACGCTCGGCTTCTCTCACAGAATCATGAATCAGTGAGTTTTTGTAGACTGTGAAACGAGACTCGTGGAGGAGGACGGTGCTCCTCGCAGAGACGACTTCACCAACGTATGACACGCCACACTACAAACCAAGTCCTCTTTTGTTTTTCTTTTTGTACAAAAAGTGGAAAATATTATGATAGAATTGACTATATATATATATATATGTACACACACACACCTTACATGCTAAATACTGTAAACATTCTTCCTTCTGAGTTTTCCTTTTTGTTGCCAGAGACTGTACATCTGATGTGTTATTTTTAACGCCTTTAAATCACTATCGCGCACCATCGTGGATGACTTCAGACGGTGTGAAAGAACAGAACCAGCAGCCGCTCACAGAGGAAGGAACAATCCCCTGAGGCTGTTTTAGAGGATGAGAGGTTGAGGGATTTTATTTTTATCCTCCAGATGGGCTGCTACGGCGTCGTCGGTCGGAGATGCTTTTAAGATAAAAATCCACCTTCGACACTCGTGATGTTGCCTTTTTGTGTGTAGCTGGGAAATGGCGAGTGTCGTTTAATGTCTCTTCTTGTGCCGTGAATGACGTTCGCTGTAGGCTCACCGTTTCTCGTCAGCTTCTTCCACGTGCTACGATTACACATGAAGCTATTTGTAAACGCTCATAAGCCCTTCAGCACCACATCAGTACAGAAATAAACACCTAAACTGGTCCATTACTTCAGGACCTCTGCTTTCCTGAGCGGATTCTTTTTTAGAATCTGCTCCGGGACTTTATTCTTAAAAGCAGGCAGAGAAATCAGCAACTTGGGATGTTTTTTTTTCTCGACATTATCTCAGTTGTTCCTCTAGGTACGCAAGTGAACACTAATTAGGCGTGTTGAAAACGGCTGTAAAATGTGTTCCGCGGCGTCGAGGCTGATTAAAACGCTGTGTTTTCGAGAGATATAAATCCTCCTGCGGTCCCAGTCTTACTTTTTGTGCACAATAGCGAGCTCAGATCGGGTTGTTCCTTATAGTCCCCCAAGTCGGAAACTCGCGTATCATCTGTCTCGTGATAAATGAATGCATTTTCTAAAGTGGCGAGTGACAAACCCCAGCTGCACATCGAAGTGAAGGCGTCCACCAGGGAGGCTCTGCTGAGTTACGTCCTGTTGCATATTGGAAAAGATGAGTGTCACTGAAGCTGAATGCTCCAGCCTGTAAATACATTCAGCCTTACTTCATCCATGTATGAACAACGCCTGCACAGAAAAATCATGCATATGCCACCGTTTTCTAGAAGATGTGCATCTCAAGCATGCATTTTCTGTGTTATCGCTGCAGTCAGAGGCACATTTACTGATGAATCCGTTGGCGTTCTGTAGGTTGTCCCAGCTCATATATGATAAAACCTGCTTCAGGTTTTCAACGCCGTGTCTCAACACCAGTCATTTGAAGGTGCTCCTGTGTTCATTTAGCAGCGGAAGTCACGACCGGATTCATAAACCGTGCCGATGCAAAGTTCTCTTTTGTACATCCACATAAAGTTTGCCGCAGGATTGTACGTGTCTGACCCCACATGTTCAAAAGTCTTGCGTTTACATCGTGAAAAATTTTCCCTCCATCTTCTTTTTGTCAAATTTAAGGAGAGTATTTTTATACGCGACATTAATGCCATATTTTTTTATTACCATGATATGTTTATTAAGAATTTTGAGCCACATACAGTCTAAACTGTGTCAATAAATACACGCAATATTTCCAGGTCCCCATAAATCCCATGAGTCTTTGCTTCGGAGACCTTTTTGAGCGCTTGTGTTGACCTCACATGGGTATGTAGACGTCCAGTCAACACGAACTCGCGGCGACGGTCTGATGTTTATGTGCTGCTGCAGATGTGTGTTTTGGCGGGAATGCTTTAAAAACGGTTCAATGTGTTGTCAGATGTATCCTAAAGTGCGGCGTCTCGTCACACACTGATGTTATGTTTGTTTTAAAGATCATTTAAATTATTAAACGTCCCATTCGTAATGGCAAAAGAGATGTTAATTGAAAACGGAGATGCCCAGCGTAGCGCGTCGTTTGCCGTCAGTTGGATATCAGTCCTCGGTTCCACTGGTGGCTGCTGTCTGTGCCACATGTCCCTGCAGAGAAGTGATTGTGTTTCTGGTCGATCCATTGTGTAGAGGTACCACTTAATGTATGTATTTGTTGTAATGCCTTTATGCAAAGTGTGATTCGGGTATTGCATTCAGATGCACGGCACAGAACTCCCTCTGATGGTTGCCTTTGAGAAACAAACAAACAAAAGATTCTCACTTCACATTCTTGACATTATTGTAACTCAGCAGTCAGTCAAAGACCAATGACTACTTGTTTTATTGTTTTTTGTTTTTTTTTACAAGATACCACTGATGATCCTACAATATGCACCTTATCTCCTCTACGGCTCCAGAACAAGTCTCATCATGCCAAATACTGTTTAGTTGTTCTTCGTTTTCCTTTCCACAGCAATGATCTGCTTTTTGATTTTGTGCCATTTCACCCAAACTTGAAGAGAACCGGAACAAGCAAAAATAGGATTTTTTTTTTTTTTTTTAAAGAGATTGTAAAATGTGTCAAAGTGTTATGAAAATATATTATTTTGAAGTTAAAAAATTACCTTTTTATTTTCTGTAGCATGTAATGTGTTAATATACCTAGTCAATAAAAAATATACCAAACTGTCTGAATGGGCTTCCATTTAACTACATGGAGTGTTTGTTGTTATTGCAGCGTCAAGCTTTTCACTCCTACATGTGGTGTGAACAAGTCTTTTATAGATGTCCTCATTGGTTTTTTTGCAAAATAAAATTGCTGAAACATAACTGCAGGTCAGAAAAAGATGTGCACACTTTTAGGCTCTGTACAAGTAAATTAATTCTCTTTTTAAAAGCATTCCCGTCAAAGGCAGCCTTTCGATCTGAGGGGAAGAAGACCTTTTATCTTTTCAGGAGACGGCTTTAAAACAGAATAAACTGAGTGATTTGGAGCCTAAAAGTGTGCCAACCTTCCACTGAGTTATTTACACAAAACTGTTGGTAGCCGTCGGTTAATGAAAGAAAAACCCACGACGGTCACAGAAATAACTTGAATCTGACAAAAGTAA